AGAAGATATCTTTGGCTCCCCTACAGAGATCGAGAGCTGAGATTAATGGCAACTGTGAAGGCTGCCTTCTCCTTTATGTGATGCATGCTTTAAAGCTGTGGCCTCCTGCCATCTTGAAACATAATCTTGTGGTATTGTCTTCATTCAGGCCCCTCATCAGCAATGTGAAAAGAGAGAAGAAGCTGGTGGCAGGATTAGAGGATAGGCTGAAGTATTCTGGGCAGCATATGCTTTAAGTCACATTATACAAAGAGTATTATGGGACTGCTGATTGGCTAGGGCTTTTTCTTTTGGAAGCACTACTGCTTGTAAAAAAGAAAGGCTGATCAAAAGTGTTTATACCTCATCACCCCACAGTGTATGACACATTACGAGCACTGTGACAAGCACTGAAAATATGTTTCAGACCCTGTCTGCCTTACTCCTAGGAGATCCTTTTGTGTTTATCAGAGTTTTGTGAGATACATGGAAAAGGAGGAGAAAGACAGAGAATTAGGAAGAAAAATTCAGGAGGGTTTTAATAAAAATATATGGATCCTCATTAGGAAGTATTTGAACATCAGAAATCTGATAATTCCATATACTTCTTTTAAATAGGAAAACAAAACAAAACAAGCGTCATTCCATGGGCTCAAACATCAAAAGGCATCTTTTGAGACCAGATACAATCCTCACTATTTTAAGCATCACATCATATAATCAATCACATCAGATGAGCCATCTCAGTCTTAAAACAAACTAGGCAGTTTCCCCTTGGAAGGCTGTTGGAGAACCTCATTGTTTTAGGAGTTAGAAACTTCTTTTAATGCCAAGTTTAGATATTCATGACAATTTATATCCATTTGTTCTCAGGCCACCAATGTCCTTAACTGAAATAGATCTTTTCCTCACCTGGCATATATACCCATAATATATTTACAGAGAGCACTCAGCCTTCATTTTGTTATCCTAAATAAGCTAAGTTCCTCCAGTCTCTGTTCCTATCTCCATTCTCTTGGTCACTTTTGCAGTTCTCAGCCCTGGTTCTAGTTTGAAATCACCTTTCTTGACCATGGCTGACCAGACCTGTACATAATGTTCCGCATGATGTGCCCTCTCATATTCCATATACTAATTTTCCTATTGAAAAGAGGTTCTTTGTCCTATGCTCATAAAGGAAAAAAGTAAAATGAATTTTTTGACTCTTAAAGCTACTTGGAAAGTTCTAAATGTTCACACTCAATCTTTCTTGGAATCCCTCAGATGTACAAAATTTTCATTAATGAAACACATCCTGAAGTTTGAGAATATTACACATTTACAAGGGCAACTGCATCCACTTAAAGTGTTGAGCTCAGTCTTGGTGGCACATTTAAAAAATCTTCAGCTTTCAAACTGATTTCAAATACCAGTTTTGGGGGGTCTTTTTTGGTTTTCAACACTATCCCAATGCTCACATTTTCTTGTCATGAAAGAAATTATTTTTCTTTTTTGTATTAAAAAGCAGTATATGGCTTTTTCTACAACCTGGAGTGCTTTACCAAGTTTTCACAGGTTTCTTTTTGACCCTCTAGACAGACCATCACTTACCCATTTTATTGCAAACACCTTCCTAAGCAGCAGCAGCACACATGATTATGCCTTGCCTCATGTCCTCTTTTGCTGACAGAAAAAGGTAAAAAGATGACTAACGCTTCATATGTTGTCATATACAGTGAAAGGAATTTCTTCTCAGGAGCTGGGGGCCTAGATCGATGACGTATAATCAGAAACTTAATTTACACTATCATACAGTGCACTTTCTAAAATTAAATAATAAATTTAAAATTGATCTCCAACTTTAAAAAAAATACAGATTTGCTGAATTTAATTTTTTCTGAACTACTGTCTTTCTCTCAATCAAGCATTTAAATACATTGAACTCTCATCCGTCTAAATCAAATACTTTATCACTGAACTATAATTTCAGATTACAGAAAGTCCAGGGTTCTCATTCTAATGAATCTGTCAGTTCCCCAGCACCAGCCAGAGGCTCACAAATCGTCCCCTTCACCTACGGGGTCATCATGAGAGTCAGCTCCCTGCTTCACCTCAGCTCTTCCCTTCTTTAAATTAGGATGCTTACCTCTATCACAAGGGCGTGGAGTAAATTCAGATCTAACCATGGCTTTGAGCTGGCACAAGCTTAAGAAGATATAAAAACACTAACAGAAGCTCCACTTAGTTTTCACAATTTTGATCAAAGAGAAAGGTATCAATTAATTTCCAAAGGACAAGTATAGTGTTACAGTAAGAAAGCTGCTCATTAAAACTGTACTGAAATACCTTCTTTTCATACACGTCTCACCCAAATAAATTTGGGTGTCGACTAATCTGGGTCATATTTAAAGCAAAAAGCAAGAGCTGATAGGTTCTATACCATGCCTGAAAGATATTTACTTCTGTATTAGTAGGCTATAATTATCTCTGATACCAGAGCAAATTTATACTGTGCTGAAACCCTGCTATTACTTCCTCTGTAAAATAACAAACTTTTGACATAAACAGCACTTAAGCATCAGTATAGGGATATGGCAGAAATACAGATATAAGCTAAAAAGCAAGAGAGGAAATTGGAACAGAATTACCTTACAGTGCTAATACAGTCTGACTTGATATTGTAAGAGGTCATCCAACAACCTCTTTCGTCTGTGGAACAAAGCAGTGTCAGTCATGTTTTGCTGTGTTTGACTTAAAGATTTCTTAGTACTTGTACATTCTTCATATGACCAAACACAAATATTAGCGGGTACAGTTTTAATTATGCTTGTGTAAGTTCAGGACAGTACCGTGAAGGTGTTACAAAACCCCATGAACTATACATCTATGTTAGAAAAAGAAATTCAGTGCAATAAAACCTGCATCTTTGATTTTTTTGTTTTACAAGGAATGTTGTCAGTATCTGCCCAAGCAAGCTTTGGAGTTGAAACACTAATCCAAAAGCAGCGACTTGCACACATCAGATTATTCTTCCTTGCCAAACAGATCCTCCAGAAGAGTTAAGTATTTGATCCTTTTCACAGGAAGGGATGGTAGCTGTCCACTCCAGTCATCTTCATACTGAAATTAGTAACCCAGAGAATAACTTAGAACATAGTACTGAAAACAACAATAATTAAAAGCTGCACAATATGTGATTGAATGAGCTGTCTTATTTCTGCATAGAAATCCTCTGTGAAATAAGTGGACCTTTATAAAGCACATCCTCTTAACAGATTACTACATGCACTTTTTTTTAATCAATCTAACAGAATATTTTATTAAAAAGTACTCTATCACTTTTGCAGAAATTTTCAAATTAAAGAATTAATTGTTCTTCTCAAGGCACATATACTTGAAAGTCTTGCGAGTCTTGCAAGTCATCTATGTATCAACACTAAAAATTATACAAAATAATGAGACAGAAAGAAAGTAGAAAAACGTCTATTAAACAACTACAACTCTGCTGCTGAAATCTGTCTGTCAAATACAGAAATTGCACCCCAAAATTATCACTAGTAATTCATGGCAGGTCATGAACAGAATGGCAATTGGATTCTAAAGATGAAAGATTCACCAATATTTAAATCTCTTCCTTTCTTTGATCTTTTTCATTTCTTATTGATGTCTTCATTAAAATACTCTTATGTGGCACCAAAGACAGTCTCGGTTTTGGAGCTAACTAACAAAAAAATAAAGTGAATAAAACTGAATAAACAATACTGCCACCAATTTGGGCACAGTTTATTAAAAAACATCACTACATGTCAGCGTTAACAGTTATAGTAAGGCTTTGGAGCCAATGAGGAACTTATCCCAGCTTGCAGATGAACAAGTATGTTTCCTCCTAATACACTTCCCTCCTTCTTGACTTCAGCTGTAACCCTCCTCACAGAAATCCCATGTACTGTCTCTACCTGGGGCTCTCAGGCATCAGCCACTTCCTTAAAGCCCATCCACAAGCAGAAATAATGTCTCCTTCCTATCCAAGCACAACCTCATCTCTTACGCTGATCAGAACATATATTGCACCAAGAACGTCAGGTCCGACCTCCTGCTTGTTTCATAAGCACTTTTTCCTCCCTGCCTTCAACCTGTGAATGCTGCTGCTTTGTTCCACCACCACTTGCACCCCACCTTCGCCTGCTGGGAGCCTCCTTCCCTCCCCTGCCAGAAATCAGGTCATGCTCCATCACTAGACAAGCCGTGCAGCTGAGGGAGAAAAAAAATGTCAAACACACTAAACAGCAAATGAATCTGTGTGTCTGCTTCTTTCACCCCAGCTTTTTGTTATGGAGCTCTGCATCATCTTCAAGGCAAAAATCCTCAGGGCACAGGCTCTGACTTTCTTTCTGTGTGTGCCATACCAAGGCCCAATGTGGCCCCTTATCCTGACAAAATCTCCTGAGAGCAGTCACTGTTTAAATATTCAGCTATAGCTTAAGCACAGAATTCGTCTGTAAAAATAAAGAACATCCACTAACAAAACTTAATTGATATTTCAAAACACAAGACTACTGTATAAAAAACATGGAAGGGCTTTGATTTTATCTCTACAAGATGGAAAGATTCTTCTCCATTACAAAATGAGGAAGAAACCACCAGGTAAAGCAGAGCAAACCAGCAGCACAGGACCTTCATTAGACACCACAGACAGTTTGAGATGTTACAGAAGAAACGGCTTGTAAGCTGAGTAAGAGAGAGTAGTCAGGTTAATACCACAGTACTTGCAGAATACTCGTTGAAAGATGCTAACGCTGAACTTGAATTTAAGAGAATACTATACTTCTAAACTGTTTGAATACAGTGAAAGATATTCTGTATAACCATAGTAACACATTGGCTAGGCCAAAATAGCAAAAGCACATGTTGCCTGAAGAGTTTTGAATTGATCTGAGATTTTTAAAAATTAGCGTAATTGCCCAGCACACAATCTGTTTTAAAATGTTTCATCCAGCACAAGATGGCAAGATGAGATTAATATATGCAGTTTGTTGAAAGAGTATTTCTATTTACCCTACGTAGCAGGCTGATGGAGACATACAAAGTTGATCCCTCCATGCTGCTCCTGCCTGTTTGCCTACCAAGGATGTGGTGTATTATGTACAATTTTCCATGGAGTTATAAAAAAATATATAGCCTATTTTCTGTATTGTCAATGGAGTTTAAAGAATTTCCTGGCTATCCTAGCAACTGAACAGATCATCTGTGTGACAACAAAATTTGTAGGAGGAGCGGTATTCACACCCATTGTTCATGAACAAATACACCTGTTTTCCTATCTCTTCTTTTTTTCTTACAGAAAAACATCACAGAGATGTGATACATACGAGGCCCAGGTGAATTACAGGACTCCTGTAGCCTGTGTCACTTCTCTGCTTCATTCTAAGCCTCCCAGAAAAATAAATTACTTGAAGAAAACAAGCACGAATATATTGTTGTAACCTCTGTTGGATATATCACTCATATTACTACGTTAGGCCAAATTACATCAATATCCCAGCGGCCTGGTTATTGTCTGGAAAGCAGGGATTTGATTCTCTCTCCAGTTCAGCTTATCCACAAACTTCTCATACTCCACTTGCTCGTGACCGTCTTCAAACCTATAGCAGAATATCCATACAATGACACAAATATAAATGGAATTTTTAACACAGTTGTATCATGTTCTCTTACATCATATTAACAGATTACTTTTTAGATAATAACTTTTCACACCTATAGAATCAAGCACTGGCAAGAGTACAAAGGGAAACACTGCAAAACTGACAGGACTTCTATATTGTACACTACGTTTTCATATAAATACTTACTGCTCGTTATTGTATCGCATACTAAAATTCCATTTCTTTAAGAAATGGATTAGATTTCAACTAATTTAATTTTACTTTCTAACCATAGCCCAACCTTTTTTTAACACTGGAATCTCACAATTGCTGACAACCTTAAAGAGTTGGGAGACTCAGTGTAAAATTCCTTTGGATAGAAAGAAACTGGCGGAAAGATACAAGAGAACTATGCTGTAACACAATTAACCTATAGTCATTCTATAGCCATTTCTTAAACATAAGCAATCCTTCAAACATGCTTTTTGCACAAACTTTGGGATCAATTTTCAGCTGACAAGTATACAGTTCTCTACACATTCACTTAACAGTCAGACTTAAAAATCACAACCCCTGTCATTTGGTAGTTGTTTTGTGCGTTTGGGTCAGTTATGAGGGTCCCCTGGAAGTGTCTGTGCTTCTCTGGTGTCTATGGAGGGATGTATATAACCAATTAGACTCAATACCTATTTTTTTTTGGTGGAAAAAGTCAGGAGAAACAATTCTATCCTCTATTCTCGTGAAACAAACACTACTTCACATGTAGGAGGATGATCAGCTACACATGGTCGTCTGCAGGAAACAGGTCTTTTAGAAAATAATTATTTTATGTTTTCCTACAAGAAATAACGTTGCACAGAACAGGCACCTCAAAACCCATACAGTCACTGGGGAAGGTTCTGGTAAAGATTAAGCATGAAGGTACTTTAAGGGAGAATTTATAACACCAACTGGTAAAGCAATACTGGAGAAGATAAATAAACCTAGTGACAAAAAAAAAAACTGAAATAAACTGCAACTCATCTTCTCTCACCTTCCCCCACACCTTTCATTTAATAGTCAGCAGGAGAGCTAATAATAAAATATACTGAGAGCAATAAACAGAGATGCTACTGATAAACATAAATGTTAAGCACAGTGAGTTAAGCTGAAAAGGAGAGCAAAGTCAGACCAAGAATGCTACTGTTACTAGTATTAAGGGAGAGCCTGAAAACATTGCCATGAGAAACCCTCCTATTACAGTTTTCTTCTTTTTAATACCTCACTTGCAATTTAACATTTTCATAAGAAATGAAAATTCCTTTTGTGGAATATGTCCAATACACACAAAAAATACCATTCCCACTTCTAAGTGGTTTTTGTTCATCTGGGTTTTTTGCAGAAGGTAAATGCAGAGAGAAAGGAGTTTTGCATTAGCAGTAACAAAACAGTGAAAAAGCCGATACTTCTTGGAAAAACACTGTGGCACACAGATTTAGAATTTCAGAACTGTCAGGACAAATTTTTGTAATACTATACATATGATAGAATTCAAATCTTTAGAGAAATGTTGGAGTATGACATTTTGTTTATATTTATGCTTTCATTAAATAGAATGTTTGAAACTGTGTATGTCTGCAGAATATAATTTATCTTTTTCTAGTTTTGGAAGGTCAAAAGAAAGTCCACTGCTGAGATGCACAGCTGTGAGTAGGATTTTTTTAATAAGAAACAAGTGAAGGTGAGTAATTACTTAAACCTTTATGTTGAAGCAATGAAGTCAAAGAAAGCATTGCTACTGCTTTCAGTAAACATTAACAAGAAGCAAAGTCCTTTGATGTGACAGCACTAGCAAACTGAGACAACACCACAAGCATGAAGTAGTATCATTAACTATAACCAAAGCTTTCAACATAGGCACCAGAAATGGGACTTCTATATCCCATATTTAAGTAGCTACAGAAAGTAGCCGAAAATATTATTCTACAACAATCCAGAAAAAAGTTACTTTTCCTTAGGTGTCTTTCCTACTGCCACTTATTGTACCCACCCACCTACTAAATGCACATACTTCTAATTTGGCCCAGAGCACCAGATAAAATGAGGAGATGTTATCAACTTCTGCATTAGTAGGACAGAGATATCATACATTTCAATGGCTGGAGTTAAGACAACTGAAAATAACAGTGCTGTTCACTAAAGGAAATTAGATTTGTCTTATCAAAAAGACGCCAACAAAGATCTCTTGAAACTATGTCCCTCTTCAGTTTTGCCCTATGACTTCACCAATGCATGTGATACTAGACTATGAAAATCACTCCCCCATCCCTACCACAGTTTGCAGAGCTTTCTTTTCTCTTTGGCATTACAGAAATAATACTACATTTCTGCTTCTAAAAATATAACGCCAATGAAATACTCCAGATGTGAAAAATCTACTTAAGTCACCTCATGACAACTCCTGAGGATGCTTTGCTGAGTAAATCCTGCTTATAAATACTTTTTCATTCCATTCAAGAAATCTGCAACCCAAACGTTTATGTCAAGTGTTAATGTACATGTACAGATTTTGAATTCCTTGGTTCTGATGAAATTAAAAAGTTAATCTGATAACAGTAGAGGAGAGATATTAAGCTGCTTTAACCTTAGAGAGTACGTTAGGATGCTTCAACGTGTTTGATAGCCCCTGCCTAACAAAGGTATATGCCTAACTGTTCACAAACTCGTCATATGAAAAGACTTAAGCACAGACCAGTATATGCAGCTGATCAGTATCAGTTAAGTAATGGCTGCTGTCTTGTATATACATTTATTCGTGTCTTGAACGTGAATAAATTGAGACATCAGTTCCTTGAGACAGAAAGAATTTTAAGAAGTTCCAAATGTCGATGCTAGAGAGTCTTCATCACAAATGGAATAAGGTGTCCTAGGCATCAGACACAATGAGCAAAGGACAGAGTACAGGAGAATGATCTCATGACCATTTCTGATTTTACTGTCTGCTACCAGGACACTTGCAGTAGCAGGAGAAGACGGTTAGTTGCTTGAAAAAAACAGGTCAACCCTAGAAAGCATGGAATTACAGGCAGGCCATGAGGTAAAAATCATTAAGGAACATACAGCCACATACAGGGGAAAAGCTGAGCGGATGGAAGTTTTCTGGCCTAACCTAGTAGTGACATGAGAAATGGGAAGAACATGTAGCAGGCCCATTGTTAGAGGGCACTGCTACCTGAGACGCACAGGATCAGCTTTTCACTGCTTCTCCCCCACAAATTGGTCCCACAGCTTCAAAACTACAAGTCCCCCCCCTGCAGGAGCTCATCAGACTCACCTCAGGACAGTGGAGATGAGAGGAACTACCCAGGCATTTCTTATAGCAATTGAAAGACATATTTTAAAAAATAGAGATGTATACTTAACAACTAAATTGATGTACAAGCATCAACTTATAATACTTGTCTACTTGTCATCCACTCCTCTTCCTTCCCTCCATTTTTTTCTTTCCTTATCTGCCAGCTGTTTGTATACCCTCTGGGGAAGGGAGTGCATCTTTTTAAGTCCTTGTTAGCATTCACTTAGCTTTGCAGTAAATAAAAATGACAGCAAAAGAAAATGCTAAAATTCATTACTTAAGCACTTTAGCAACATTTGTTTATTAAACAAACTATAATTGGTCATTATGCTTGCATAAATTTAAAGAAATGCTTATAACTACTATTGCAGTTTTCTGGCAGAAACAAATGTGTACCATCTGCATTGCCTAATACATTATGATTAAAAATCTGCATTGCACTGTAATTAAAAAACTACAGTGAGACAAGGCTGATGGAGATGGAAAATATCTTTTAATAAGCCAGCTCAGGTAAGTGGAAAAAACGGACACATTTTTGGGCATCTAAATCCTACTACTGCACCATCCCAAAACAATTAAAACCGTAAGTTTACTCTAGGCAGACAATTTGAAAGGGTCTTATGAAACTTCCCACTCTTTTTGTTAACTCCCCCCTGCACTCAGTGGAAATTGAATGCTCACTGAGTAGGGTAAACGAGAAAAATCTTGGGTCATCTGGAGGTGATGACCACAAAATCAGACAGTAACCCCTAGTTCCAGCTTTCAATAAGGGATTGATTATGGTGTCGTAATTTACTAAACTAAATAATAAATACTTTAAGGGTATTACCTTTTAAAATGGAAAAACAGAACCATTAAGCCCTACAGAAAATCTTTGCTACCTAATCTTAGATAGTAAAGCTGAATAAACATATAGTTTCAGTCTTCAACTATTATCTGATCACATTGTCTATTACCCTTTTATAGCTGAATAGGATCCAGCTAGTGCATTAGCTATAGACACTGATTTTGTGGGAACTGATCCAACAACTTTAATTGTACCACTTTCCTCCTTCATAAATTCAGATTCATACACTAGAAACACTACCGCTGTTTGCTTCAGAAGCATCAATGGACATAACATCACATGCTTCCTCCTCTAAAAACAGGGAAAGATTATTATTGATGAGGAAGAATTTTGCACACACTGAATTCCCAAGGACTGAGACTGTTCTTCACTAACAGCACCTGCCTGTTTCATGATTCTTCAGTCTCAACAAGAACTAGAGAAAGCAGGAGGGAATGAAGAGAAAAGTGCTAAATCTCATTCAGCCAACTCTACTGTTTGGTTTCTAGATGAATGGAAACTAAACCCTATCAAATACACTTCATGAAATCTTTTCCGTCTGTGGCCTTACCAGGCAGGGCCAACTGCACTCATTACTAAGAATGCAAATTTTTCCCTATTATCTGCAGTACAGTGCCTCATCACATACACTGCAATCTTTCAAAGCAGTTGATACTGTAACTTACAACTGCCGTGATATACAATACTTCATCGTGTGGAGTACTTCTTCCACTGAATACTATGGCCCAGGTTCATCCCATTTAACTTTCTCATACAAAAATGTGGAATACACATTGCCCACAACCCCTTTAGAATCAAAGGAAAAAGAATGGCAATTTAGAAATCTAGCTTTTAAATAGGCTGAGGAGATAACCCTCTCTCCTTTTCCATTGCCAACAGAAAGAATCTAGAGCAGTTACCTCCTAGTTCAGCTGTCATGGGTACCTAAAGCTGGGTGAAAAGTTCTGAAATCAGGCCTAAGTCCCCTCCTTGCCTTCTAAGCTTATCTCTAACTTTTATTATAGTGTACTGGGCTTTTTCTTTTTAACTACCTACACTGAGAGTCTTTAAGAGATTCATCTCACAAAAGCTTTCCCTAGTATAAATTCACAAACAATAAATACGTCTCTGGAGCCTGTGATGTGTCAGGACTGTCTGTTTTTCATCAGCATTGAGTTAGTACATAAAGGAAAACCTCCAGACTTTCATCTGGTTGCATCTATTCATTTTCAGTTCTTATGAAGTGGAAACTATGAGAACTCCTTGTTTAGTACTGTATTTCAATTGTCCTCCAGCACTTCTTGTGTTAGGCAGCTTAGTGGGAGTTCTGAAAAATGAGTTTTAAAATAATGTTAAAATTCAGACATCCTTCTGATCACTAATGCTTGTTACCCAGCTGTCAGAAGTGATCTATGGCCAACAAATTGCCCAAGTCATCTATCTGGCTACTGCAGGGAACTATTCTGAGAGTTTTGGGTCTGAAGGGAACAGGGTTTTGCAGAAAACAGACCCTTAGGCTTCTTAAAGCAGTCTTTTTGACACTGACTGAAGTAAGAAGTCTTGCTTGCAGTATGTAAATGCTTTATCAAAAGCATTCCATATTTCTTTGCTTGACAATAGTCTTTTCATTATATGATAAATCCAGAAGCTTTGTTTGAAATTCCTCCTGAAATCAAGAAATTTGTCCACCTGAAAGCATCTAAATGTGACAGAGGATAAGACATGCTCCTGCATTTTACATAGTGTGAAGGTACCAGCAATGATTTCCCATATACAGGAAAGAAGAGATCGATGAGCGTTTATTTAAACCTATTATGAGGAAAGGGGGCCATGAAAACAAAACTCATCATGACAAGAGTGTTCAAAACACTACAGGTTGCTCTGAATTGTAGCCTTTGATACGAGTGCATTTGTCATGGAAGGTTTGGTCTAGTGGAAAAGTTAGGGAGATGGGTTTTATAGACCACTGGCATAAGGTGTCAATCACCCTGTCCTTTCAGTTAGCCCGCGGAAATCTTCCGCTGCCATAATTTAAAATCACTGGTGGAGGGCTAACACGTACTTTAAAAGCCCGTACCTGTCACTCAGGCAGCAATGTTCCAGAAAGAAGGTGGCGCTGCCCAGGAGGCTGCAAACAGGTCCGTGTTGTAATCTAACTTGCCCCCCCCCCGCTTCTGGCATAACCCAGGAGTGAACCGGTCTGAGATCCTGTATATACATAGAGGTACTTGCAGCTATCGTAACCAGCCCTGTTCCATGTTGTGTGTCGAGTCTGAATGTATAGTTGTTGATTAATTAACTGTATATTATTGTTGTTGTTGTTGTTGCTATTGCTAGTTCTCAATTGCTATTACCAGTGGTGACGCATATTGCACTTTGTCATTTGTTCTGGGCTGTTATTTGTGAACCCCTTCACAAGTGACAGGGACAGCTCTACTGCCACCCCGAACCTTTTCCTGCAGCGTGGAGGGCTGTGGGGACCAAAGTGTTGAGATGCTCTGCGGTGGGCTCAGCCGCCCCACCCAAGCTTCCCGCGACAGCACTGAATATTAATTCTTTTCACTTTTTCTTCCACTAACACAGCTAGCCAAGCATTTTGTCTCAAATCTGTTAAATGTGCTATAGAAAAATACTGAAATCATGCAAATACTGGAACTGACAAACTCCCTTTCCCTTTTAAAAATTTCAGTAAAACATATCTTTCAGGTGAGGTTAATAGGTGTAGCAAAACATTCTCATTTACTGCTAATACTGCCTACACTTTTTTTTAACATTTTCACTGTCTTCATCTTCTGTTTCTTAAAACTTACACAATGTGCTTCCACAAGATTATTGTTTTTTCCTTACATATACACAGGTGCAACTAATGCAAAATGTGGATCTCACTGATAAGGATAAATATCAGTAGCTAATTCCCATAAAACTAATTCCATAGAATTCAGGGAAAATCCAGATGATCTCTTCAGCAGACAAAAATAAGTAACATTGATAAGAAGGATGTACCTTAATTATAAATATTCTATAAATAAGAAGGTCTGCATGTGTAAAGGGACATAATCAGCATCATTTAATCATTAAAATTATATAAACGACAAATTTGTAAGAAATATGTCCACAACAGATATTCAACAACCTGTTAGTGAGCATATGTTATATTATATTGTTTTACACCCATGCATGCAGGTCATACTATCACCTTTGACTTACATGGTCAGTAAAGCTTGCAGAAGATCATCAGCCAGTGGCAACCTGAAGGACTTGCAAATAGTCCTGCACATCTCATGAGGCAGCACTCCACGTCTAAACAAACAGAAACAGAGGGGCAGAAGTCTACTTTATGTATTTTCCAGGTTTACTTCAAGCGCATGCTGCTGTGAATAAGAAAACATATCAAGAATATTGGGCTAGAGGTAGCAAAAACAAGTTTTATGAAATTTCTGTATTATAAAACTGAGAAACATGAAGTGCACATGGTAGTCGCTCTCTCTCTCACTCGGAGATTCTGATTGATCGTCTGAGATTCTTAATCTGGGCCATCAGAGAACAAAAAGGACAAACGACTCGTGTAAAGCATCAACTACAAATCCTTTTTTTTTTTTTGGGGGGGGGGGGGTAAATAACTTCTTTTCCTCTTTGATTTAAAATACTGTGTTTTGCCTGTGACCAAGCATCTGATTATGTCACAGGATGTTCAGTATAGCAGCTATAATAAAAAGTCCACAAACAAAATGAAAATGAGACAAAAGGCTATCCTTTCTTTATCCACTTTCAAGTGTGGAGAGGGGCTAACATCAGAAGTAATATTCCTTGACTGCAATATATCATTTGGTCAATAACAACCAGGAAGTACGTAGTTTTCAAAACAGACCTTTCTAAATCGCAGCCTAGGTTAAATACAGGAAACTTACTTTTTGCGGTCATTGAATACAAACACAGCAGATAGTTGTCCAAAATTCTCAAAACTCTTCTTCTTTAGTTGTTCTTGAGCCACTGCAAGGAGGAAGTGGACGTCCATTTCAGAGTCATCTCTCATGCTGTAGCAGCGCCCAAGAGTCATAATTTCATGTTCCGACAGCACTCCATCAGTGATATTCACTATCAAATTTCTGTTCACAAAAATAACAGCAACCTACATTAGTGTTAAGTAGAAGAGTTAAAAGCAGTTAATAGTTGCGAAATATCTGTGGAAACAAATAGAGCATAAAATGCTGTTTTTAAATGTATTCACTTAAATTTGAAATCCAGGTCTGTTCAAGGAGGTACTCTGGAAACTACCCCTACTCTAAACTTTTGGAGGATGTCCATGTTTCTTCTGTAGTTGGTTATATACACAAAAATAAGTAATACTCATGACTGAAGCCCGTTACCTGCAAATATTTTACCAGCATTGAACATTAGAAGAGATTCATTTTGTCACTGCATGTATTCAGCAAGATAGCCAATTATACAATATATTATACTGTTTTGTTCCTAGTTATATTTTGCATTCTGCAGCATATGATTAGTTATCTCTAAACAAGAAACATGTACGATAACTGTTGCATAAAGTACAGACAGGATTTCCTAAGGCAGAGGGGAAGCGGGGCAGAAGATACCAACAAAGGACAGAATATTAATCAAGTGTCAAGTCACACTCCATAAAGCACTGTGAAAGCTGGCCCTGTTGGTCAGCTTTCAGGGAAAAATTGGGGGAGCGGAAATAGGAACTGACCACAGAGAAAGGCAGAAAATTACACCCGACCTGTAATCACAAGCGCTCCTGGCAAGAAAGGAGGATAGGAGGCAGTGACAAGATCAGCTGATGCTTGAACACTGTCAGGGGACAACCTAATCCTATGCAGTTCAGGCTCTCCTGAGATTGCCTGCACTGCCAGAAGAATCAGACCAACCCCAGGAAGAGGAAATGTTCCTGAGATCTGTGTGAAGGGCCAGTGCTGACACTGAGTGACTGCTCCTCTTGATATCAAGGACTTGTTGCTGATAATAGCACTGAAGTGATTTTGGGGTAAGATCCCTGAAAGCATCTGTAGAGATATCAGCAGAAGGATATACGTACTGTGCAGTTTAAGAAACAGGACTAGTAATTATAATTCAGAACAATCTCTCTGTTTTGTAGAGGAGGGAGAGGGGAGGCTTTCTAAATGCTCAGGCCTACAAAGCTGAAAGCACGTACATAGTCCTACCCATATGAATACTTTCATGGACTGGATTTCCACACATGGCATAAATTCTTGCAGAGTTGGGATTTTAAAATCTTACGTCTTCTTAAGCCAGTCAGTGGCAATCAAGTCACCAAAACCCCAGATAAAATTATTGTCTCATTTGGGAATTAAGGAGTTTTCTTATGATTGCTAGAGACTGATGAGAGAGACCCAGGATCTACACAGAGAATTACGTCTAAATTCCTCTTGACAAAAAGAAGCAAGCTGCAACAATTTTTCCCACAGCTTAGTTATCTTTTATTTTACTTTTTTTATTCCAGAAGAATAAGACAGATTGCAATCTGAATTCCATAGAGGAAAAAAAAATAATAATTAATTGCTGAAGAGAGCTATTTCACAAGATGAATTAAAGATAGGCATCTCTGCTAAACTGACATGGTTCTTTGTCTCTAACAGCAAATGGTCTTGCCAGCAGCTTATGAGAAAAATTATTCAGGGTAGGACAATCTGATATGCAGGCATCTAACTTTTACATATTTTATCTTCCTCTCTCTTTAACAAAGCTTTCAATGGTTTTAATTATTGTTCAGGGGATAATGTCAGTATTTGCCATGTGTATACTTTCTGAATGATTTGCTGTAAATTCGGGTGCTCAAGATGGTCCAAGTAAATTGTATAATTACAATTATGCTTCTCTACATCATATTTATGGGTGTATCTTTAAAAATGTAGCTCATGTAAAATTATATCGGTAGAAAGGAAGAAATCTGAACAGCAAAATTCAGATCACGGTACAGCGTTAGCTGCATTTAAGATAAGAAAAGAGGATTATTTTGCTAGTTGAAGCTGTCACATAGGTATTTGCGTGTACTAAAAATAATTATTTGTAGTTGGTTATAATCATGAAATGCCACAACAGATTAAAAATAAATGGTAATGTATACAAGAAAATACAAAATTAAAAAAGAAGTAGATATCTGTGACTTTTTATAGAGGCAAAGAAGTGTTCTCTTCCCTTTGTCATGAAAAAAAGGTTTCTATTGTTAAAAAATAAGGTACATAGATAAAAAAAGAAAAGAGGCTTTAGATTATTAGATACCATATGAATGAACAGAAACAAAATATACTACAAAGTACAAAAGTGAAGTGTTCCTTGGAAGCAAATCTTTCCTCTGGCAGCTTAGATGCTTCCTAGTAGACCCCTTTAGGTCCCACTGCAGGAGGCATGTAGACCATTAGCAGGTGCTCAGACTTGTCAATGTGAACACTGGAGCTAAAAAAACGTTATGTAGATTCTCCTGTTTTTTCTCTTGCTCAGAGCGGGCTACTGCATCCTGGTCGCTGAAAGAGTAGTAACCAAGCGCCTCAATAGCATAGAATAAGACATACCTTATTCCATGCCACAGAATCTCTCTATGCTAAGCTGAGCTGCTAGGCTGTTCACAGCTGCAGAGAGTTAAAAATAAAAATCTTTTCCTACAATGTAAAAGCACAATCATCCCTTCTCAAATGTATTCCGCCAATATGGTGACGTAAACGTTCTGAGACTTGTTTTTGCATCATCTGCTTTAAAATCATGACTAAGTTATTTAATTTTAAACAATTATTGTACACATAAACAAAAACCCTTTCCCAGGTTCTATAAACTGTCTTTAGATATACCTGATCTTTCAGTTTTCTCCCCTTCTCACTCTAGCAATGTGATTTCTTATTAATACAGTTAGCAATTCAAAATCTTGCTTCTGTTTAGTAAAACACCTGACAACAAAACTTTTTTTTTTTTCAGCAAAAGCTGTGAACAACTCTGGCCTCCCTTGGTTTGAATCCTTCCTCTCCGATCACTTATTTTTCATTTCTGAATATAGGCTGCTTTTCCTTTTTTATTACTTTCACTTTGAATTGCTGGAAGACCTTCTGCTGATGTATATATCCCCTGAGATATTTCATCAGTAATTTCTGCCTTAGTTAACGTTTCTTTAGGGATGACATTCCACACAATATACAGGTACCTACCTATACACCTCAGCTATTATGACAGCTCCTAAATATAAAGTATATTACCACTACGAAAAAACAAAATGCTTCTACATAAAAAACTCCTCTGTTCCACATCAACTTTACCAGTACCCAACACAGCTCATTGCTCAGTTCTTTCAGCTTGCTCTTGAATTTCATCTCCTCTTTTATGTGTCTATACATTTGCCCATTGTCATATGTGGACCATTACCAGAATCCAGATTTCCTTTCATCCTATCTTTGCTTAAATTACTATCCAGGCATTAACTACTATTGGTCTCATTATTGCTTTCCAATCCTTTTTAAAGATGCTTATTACTATATCCCATAATTTCAATACTCCTTGGTTCTGGGAAGACTATCTTCTTTATCAATGATTCAAACCCCAAATTACACTATTCTCAGAAGGCAACTCAAATGTTCCCTTCTGAATTTCAAAACTCCTAATTAGTTTGGTTGACTCTGTCAGGATGAGCCTTCCTTTACCCTTTAGTGTATGCATTACCGCATAATCGTCTTTCTTCACACTACCGTATTCTAGCACCATAAAAAGCAGACAGATTTGAACACTGGAACAGATTGCCCAGATAGGTTGTGGAGCCTCCATCCTTGGAGATATTCAAAACCCAACTATACATGGTCCTTGGGCAAGCTGCTTGAGCTGACCCTGCTTGGGCAGGGGGTTGGACTACATGATCTCCAGAGGTGCCTTCAAGCCCCAACTACTCTGTGATTCTGTGATTTTAGTTGTGCTGTTCAGCTTACTTGAAACCACCTCATTTCTCTTTTTCCTGGCCATGGATTCACTTTCTTTTTCCACATAACGTCCCCAAGTAAATGCAAAACAAATGCGTGCCACTTCTCAGTTAACACATGCAGAAAACAAAACAGTCACGCCCCATGCATTTTTGGAGACTGTGCCTCCACTAAATATTAAAGAGCAAAACCTACCAATCTTACCTGAAAGGGTCATACTCAATCACCTTGGTATGGTCAGGATCAGTGGCTGCAAACATCTGCTTGACTTCTCGGGAACGAGGTTCTGCTATGTCTTTCAGCTTCTTGAGGATGACACTGATATCGGCCACAGAGAACTTAACAGAGGAAAGCAAGAAATACAGATTAGACAGAAAGGCAATATTCAATTCATGTACCAGCAAGAGTTGTGGAGATGCTGAACTGCTAAGTATTACCAGCTTCTTCATTGTCTCATTTCAAATGCGTAAATCCACACTAAGTTTGGAGGGAAGCCTGCTACTGAGAAAAACTTCTTCCTACAGAGAATATGAAAAACTAAACAAAAATCATCAGATCATGCACCCTCAGAAAGCTTATTCCAGATATATAAATGGACATTCCCTTTTGCTTCAAGCATTGTACTGTAATGATCTTTAAAAGGTGTTTAATGTCTCTATAACACTGCCAGAACAGTATGAACATGCTCAGATTTAGAGGAGATAGTTGTTGCTCATGCCAGAACTATTCCAGGTACAACACTGGCATGCAATGACATGCAAAGCAGTGGTGTGGAGCAGCTTGACCAACAACCAAAAAGTCAGATAGATGCCAACTTTTTCAGTTCTCTTCCAAAGCTGTTACTGTCCGGGTTGTAAGCATACATCTTTTTGCTGAAAAAAGCAAGGAACAGAGACTGAGAAAAGACTGGCCAAAAAGAAGCAACCAGCAGAGCATTTAAAGAGGGACAAAGTACTCTGTCTCTTCAAAAACTTGCCTGCTCTACAGTTCCAAAGCAGATACTTTTACACCTTTTCCTAACCTGCTTATTCCAAAAGTCTACATAGATACCTAGTGTTTGAGCAGCAAGAAGATAACTACCTACCCACTTTCACCCCTTCCCATGTAATGGCTGTCATTCTAGCAGTCACAATCTGTTTTTTTGTCTTGTTTATGCTTAAGTCAGTGGTTATTATCTTGACCTCAATGGAAGCAAAATCAACCTCTGTGCCTGTGCAACAGAAGACTACAAAGTTTGAACAATTGAGACAGTTTCAGAGATAATGAATTCATTTCCAAGGAGTCACATTGATGCCTCTTCTGAAACAATCCTCTTCAGACCTTGTGCAGAACCCAAATGTTCTGTTTTGCAAGCAATTTTACATTTTCTAAATATATCTTTTTTTCCTCAAAATGGAAAAAAAACTAAGAGTGCTGAAATGTTCTCAAAATTAGATCTGTCATGCTATTTTCATATCAGGTCACAATCAAAATGAAAAGACTCACTGATTCCCCCCATCCGCCCCCCGCTTTGATATAAATATAATAAAATAAAAACAAATTGGAAATTGAAAAATAAAACTTCCAAATATTTCATATGGCAAGTGTCAAAGGAATGTTGCAATGACGGCAAAATCATTTCCCACCTCAATACATTTATCTAATCAAATTTTTGTCCAACTCAACATACACCTAGAGAAATGTGGGCAAAATGGCATTTTCCAGAAGAAAATCATTCCATCTGAATTTATGTCACCAGTTTTCAGAGAAGTAAAGGAAATCTTCCGTCTGTTCAGAAGGAAAAGTAAAAGAATTGTTTTCTAACTTCAGAAAAAAGTGTTAAATAGTCATATTAGAATTACTTCCCCTTCAAACCACCTTCCTTTTTTCATCTCTGCTTTTCTCTAACTTTTTCTGGAGTTCTTGCGATTTGAGCACAGAATCCCCTGATGAACTGAGGAAAGCAAGGTGTGTCCTTACCCCTGGAACTCTATTCAAAGGATGTGAATAAATCATCTATCATTAGGAGAATAAATCTGCTTTTTTTTTTTTTCCATCAGCTGTTTTGAAATCTTAACTGGGTGAAGCACATTTCAAAATTCACTTTAAAGAACTGTTTTTGAGTGCTGCTTCTTCACATCCTGCAGATGTAATTTTCACAAAATACAATTACTCACTCTGAAAAAATAAGATCTCATCTATTTGCTTCGAGATTAATCAATGCAAACAGCAGTTACAAAGAACACTTACAATTTAACTGTACACTCTCCGTTTTGGAGAATACCTTCAGTTTTGATTGCACGGTGAGTACACAGAGTTCAGCAGTAAGGAAATATAGTTTTGTATTTTATTGCTTAAAGCATTTAGCTGTCACAGTGTTTTACATCAACAAGCATTTTGTAGTCCTTCTTCGTTATTCCAAGGAAGGCAGGTGATGCTAACCCCCACTATTTTACAAAGAAACAACACAGGACTGCTATTTTCTTTTGAGTGAGCACAGTACCTGCGGCCCAAAGGCAATACAGGCTCAGACTGCATCCACCTCTACCTCAGCAGCACAATGGCATCAAGACTGACACCCTCAGTCCCCAAGGCTACGCTAGACCTACTGACATCCTGGAGGATTTGGTGAGGTGGCAGATAGGAAACAAGCAGATTCTGAACTCAGACGTTCTCCTCTGCCTACCTACAAAAGGTCTGGACAAAAAGAGCAGAGAAGAGTATCTTGTAGCTTGTTAAACTCTCCTGGATACTCTCCCCAGAGCTGTTATCAACACAGCTAAAGAAAAGGGCAGGGCAGCCCTGGAGAATCTGTGAGCCAAAAGGTCTGCTGAAAGCACATTTCATGCTATAGCCCCACCGTAAACAATGAATATGCACTGCCCCAAAGACAAGTAGGCCTCACAACACAGTCTAGCCCATAGAGCGATGTTCAAAGTCACATTGTGAGGACTCAAATGCAAAAATTCCTTGGCTCCTGACCTGAAGCATTCTTAAGATGTGTCTCAGAATGACTGGTTCAGAACTGCACATAACAGGAATTCCCAAGTATACCAGGTTACATTTATTCAAATATTTCAGCAAAAGCTGCATCTTAAAAAAATTTTTTTTAAAAGGAACATCTACATTTCTTACCAAGCCAACAAAAAATCCCACAAAACCTCCGTGACTCTTCTCTGTGGTTCTTCATCTCTGCATCTATTCTTTTTCTGACTTCTATGACAATTGTCATAGGACAACACGCTACTTCCTATTGAATATTTTTATGTTTTTGGCTAATGAAGGCTATTTTACTAGCCATTTGTGTATTGACTGGTAACATAAAGTATATATCACCAAAGATACCCAAGTCTCTGTTAATTATTGCTCTCCCTTCTTAAGGCAAAAGCAAAAGGCAAGGAAACTCAGTACAAACAGTAAGCCTGAATTCCCGGCTGTGAAATGAATTTCCAATATCACAAATGATATGTTTTGACAGATAATTACGTATGAACACACATAAACCGAGTCAAAAAAGGAAACAGCCTCATTAGTAAGAAAGACTCTAAATTGGATGTTCCCACCTCTTGAGTACTGTGCACGGTTCTGGTCTCTGCATCTCACAATTGCCTTGCAAAGACAGACTAAAAAGGCAGAGACTCAAATTTGGAAGGGATGAGGCTGAGCAGGGAGTATGACTGAGGTTTACAGAATCATGAGGGTGGTGCATAAAGCGAATGACGATCTTCACCAAACCCCACAATGCTAGGACTGTCACTGAAACTAGTAGCAGGTAGGTTTGAAATAGATAAAAGATACTTCTTTTATCGAATACTTCTTTACACAGTAGGTGGTGAACTTTGCAACTTGGTGCCACAGAAAGCTGTGGAAGCAGACAGTATCAGCAGATTCAAAGAGGAATTAGACCAGTTCAGGGACAATAGGTCCATAGAAGGTCTCTAGAATGAATAGGAAGGGATATACGTTCTAACAACCACTAATACAATAAGTGTGGATGCTGAGGAAGTAGGAGGGAATGCACTATAAGAAGTCGCCAGGCTTGCATGCTCTCCCTAGCCGGTATCTCCTAAATCCATCCCTATAGACAGAGCACTGGACCATTCACCTGATGCAGCATGGCATTTCCTATGTTTTCAAGATTAACTGGACTTCGGGGTGAAGAAACTGGGTATAACTGATTCTGAAAAAAATATAAATAAGATACAGTTCTGGATAACAAAAAATTGCAAGAGACAGCTTCACCTCATTTGCATGCTTCTCCATATAGTTGAAAGCATACTCATCAGCATCCACCAAAAGAAAGTTGTGACCATGGAAACAAACTCTGGCTCCAACAAAGAGATTCTGAGCCTTGAAGTATTCAGATGGCTCACTCTTAAAGAGCTCCTGCCCAGGCTTCTTAATGCGACCTCTTTCCAAGAACTTCCCACCAAGTATCCCTATGGGAATAGAATTGTAAATGATTAATTGTGGCTTTGCTTGCAAGAAAAAACACGCAGAAGAAAACAACAAATAACCCCAAAGCAGCTGGTCTGTATTTAAATATTAGTTTTCATCCTAAAGTTCCCTGTCTCATAATATATTCTCCCCAACCTTCTCATTGCTAAAAGAACTGTCTTTGCTAGTGACCACAGCAACAGTTACATTGTGCAAATTCTGTGACGTGTCTCATTTGAATGCTCACCAGACACCTTCCCTTTTTTCTTTTCTTTAATACGCGACAGAAATTTGCCTCTTCAAATGGTTCCCACAACCCTGTTGCCAGCCTTGGGACTGACCCTTGAGAAATGTATCATGCAGGCCGAACCTGTCTCCAACTTAGGATAACACAGTCCTACTATGAACCTGATTTCTAGTGCACGGTAATTCTCATAATTCTAACTGTAATTCTAACTTGTTTTTAAGGGCTTTTGAATGTGAAAAATCAAGAGTGACATGACACTAGCTTCCACATACTGTTTTTGTAATGCAAATTAATTGTAATCTGTTATTTCCTTTGTGAGTTTGTTATGTCAGATTATTTATTTTCACGTTATACTGATTTTATTCACGCCACTGGAAACTACACACACTGCTTAAGGGCATATAAGATACGAAAAGGAACATTTGTCTTTCCATTAGTATCTTATGGTGCACCACAGGATTGCACCACATTTACCAAGTTTTCTAGAAAACAGTCTGTCAAGCATTTTGCTTCATCAGGATATGTGCCCTACACCAACTATGAAGTGCCTAGTGTTCATTTCCTGTTTATATTTGAGCTTCCAAGCCAAAAGCCAAAAAGCATACTTTAGTAATGTTTAATGATGTCTTATATATTAGTTAGTGATGTAAGTCCCATAAAAGGCTGATGAGCAGCGTAATAAAATGCCATTTATGGTCAAAATTATAAATGAATGTGAAACCCAAACTAGTTATTAAACCAGCGTTTGGATCAGATATCTTATTTAATTGCTTCACTAGCACCATAAAAGCAAAAGACAAAAATATATACTAAGGTAATAGTCAGATCTAGATTAAATTCAAAAATGATTCAAATCACTAATGTAACTCTAATCTTAACACATTCCTTTTCACCTAGGTATTAAAGCAAATGCAAAATTTTAGGTTATATAATCCTGGCAACTCTTTGTAATACTTAAGCAAAACTGGTCTCTGTAAGATTGGCATTTCGCTCTTGCCTCTGTATTTTCCTGCCCTTGTGCAACCTGATTGGAAACTTACCTTAATACCTCTGATAATCATGTTTTAAATGTTCTCGGTTAGTATATTTCAAGTGTATTAACCAAACATATCACATTAGGTTAGAGAATTTACACTGAAATCTGATGAGAAATTTTGATGGAAATCTATAAGAGTCAGGCTCAAAGCACAAAATAAACACCCCATTCAAAGGCCCACTTCCATTAGGATCAGATCAGTCTTTGCAGGTGTTTGCACAGCTGTTAGCTTGGTCTTATACAGAGCAAAAAAAGGGGTTAGGATCTCCTGCATGGGGAGCCAAAGTTCTCATGGGTTCACCCCCATCTCTAAAAGTGCTTCAAGATGTCCAACGCTGTGCACTTCAAATCCAGCTCTGCTTTTCTCCTGCCCCATCCATTTCAACACCACTTTCCTCCTCACACAAGGTTCTTCTCACTCCCATTCTGCCCACCTTACCCCTTTTTTCTATCCTCTCACATCTGACCTCTGCAAAGCCTTCTCATTCTTAACCTCAAAAAAACTCACTCTCTTTTCCTTCAGACATGATTCAAAAGGAGTGAGGGCAGAGGGAGAGAAGAGAGAGGGAGAAGAAAGAAAAGAAGGAAATGGGAACAAAGAATCTTCTGCAATCTCAGGCCTTTTTCCAACTTCTGCTCTTCTCCCCTCATCTCTACCTCTCACCCAGCCTCTGCAAGGCTGTTCTCACTGAGCTCTCCAACAGTCAGTTATTAGCCACAACCAACGATCTCTTCGCTCTTCTGCCACTTCACCTTTCTACCATTTCTGAAAGAGTCAGCTACACCAACCACTTTAACATCCCTGAAAAGTTAAAAACTCATTTACTGGTGCTTGCCTTTCATATATATTTTAAAGCATTAATTATGTTGATATGCAAACTTGCCCTGTTTATTGTTTCATATTTTGGTGAATGGAAATACTTAATTGGAACTCAGCTGCAATCCTAGCATATATTCTCATTTCAAAATAAAAGGAAGCCAGGGAGTAACCTCTGGCCTCACACCCATGCTATCGAGGGCCTGACTGACTGACCACATCTGCACTCCATAGAGCTTGGCCTTGGGTCTGCTATGGGTGCTATGTGATAATCCTGAGGTCTTAAGGCAAAGATATTATTTTTGTATGTTTAAAATGTCTGAGGGTATGTGAAGGCTGTGCTGTGATCCGATGTTTTATAGCATGAAACTGAGGGAACGTATTGTAACCCCTGGGTCTGGGAATGCTGTCTGAGTGTGCAAAATGCGCTTGCATAGTGTTAGATGACTGATAAGGGCAAAGCAAGCCAAATCTCGTTAAGCATCCACCAGAAGGGGCCCTGAGCTCTCTGGGGCCTTGTCTAGTTGGAATGGTCCGAAGGAGAACCAGGAGTGAGCTAACATTTAGGCAACATAGATGACACGGGTCCAAAACTCAAGCTGTTTCCTGGTCTTTAATTTAGCAGTGTAGATGTACCCTCAGCATCCTTCATGTCTCTGGAAGTAAAGAAAGCCAATCAAACATCAAGTCATTCACTAACGCAGAATTCAGCTGCTCTTGAGTATCACAGCAGCATTTTCTAATAAACGCATACATATGCATGTTTATCTTTTCTATACACACATATACCATATACTAATGTATCTGTACATACATATGTACATACACATACAGCATGTATGTCAAAGCAACATGCACTTTTGGGTAAGCAACTATTCTTTGAATGCTTGTTCATACAGCTGCCAGTCATTTAAAAGAAGTTGCATAAATTACTAACCACTGGATGGCAAGAAACTAGTTAAAATAATGATGACAGGACACTGCTGCCCTAAACAGTATTAAATCTTTATGTTGCAGTGGAGCAGGGCTAACTGAGCACGCTCATGGAAGCTGAGGCAGATGCTCTACACATTTTTGAAACATTTCTCAGAGAACTGCTTGTATTCAAGTTGAGGGTGAGGTTCTTATTTATGCATTCATAATATACACAGATACCATTAGGAATTGTTTGTGTTGAAAAGGCTCAAGCCTTCCTATAAACCTACTGCACTCAAAATGACTTAGTAGCACCACTGGCACAGAAAGAGTTTTCTAAGAATACATAAGGTGTAGACATTCATCACACCTTTAGTTTTTATGGATGTGATGTTCATCACAGGTCTGACATGGATTAATATCAGAAATTATCTTCAGTAAAAACTTAGAATATGGTTGCAAGAATACTCAGCCCTTAACTCTAACCTGAATATGACTCAGAATGTCAACTGCTGCCACCAGCTGAAGGTCTTCAGAGCCTGAACCAAAGAAGAATGAATAGTCCTCCCTAAGACAGTCATTGCTGTAGACAATGCTCTGGGAGTACCAAATAGGTCAGTACTGAGCACTGTGAGCTGGTCACCGTTGTACCTGAAATACCATACTAAGGCACTCTGTACCAAGCGGCTGGTATAGAGCAATTCAAGTAGCGTCAAAAGAACGAGTCACGAGGTTCTACAAGAGCCTGACAACAGAACTAAGGAAACCGTCTGTTACTCTTTCTCTCTTATCTTTGAGAGACTGTGATTTTCTGATTTTTTTTTCTCCCTAGGATTTTATCAGAGACTGACAGCAGGATTTTTTTTTTTTTTTTTTTTTTTAAAGAGTCACTCCTTTGCGAAAGTTGAGAGCACTTCTGGATGCAAACCGCTCTGAAGCTGTTGCCACAGATGTTTTGTTCTGTTCAGAGAAATACACTTCTCTCTCCAACGGAAACATGTTTAACCAAGGCTCCCCTATCTCTTTGAGTTACTAAATGGCTTTCTGCTCTACTTCCCAGTGCTGTACCCTTCCATCCACACACATGACACTGAGAGGAAATAAGAGATGCTTGGAAATCACAGAACCTCATATCCTCAGTTGGAGGCAACTTACAACAGACAACACTGACTAAAGGAATTTAACTATGACAGCATTTGGGGACCATGGTCCAGCAATAGGATAAACGTGAACAACTGAGGAGCAGTAAAGTATTTGCTGCTAAAATACTGGCAATCTGGTTCCTGAAACTCAGATCAGTTTTATACACACATAGACACGCACATGCACACACACACACGCACAGAACAATCTTCTCCCTTTACATGCCCAACAGTTCATTATTAATGATATTGTATATTAAAAAATATCACAGCTGTTTTACTTTCATGAGATGCTTCTATACAATGGTTGTTATATAGGTACCATAACACCATCCTTCAAAACAAAGGACTTACTCTTTCTTTCATAACGTCTTAAATTGCCTGTCCCTATTTAACACCGATTACCATACAACTCCTGTACTTAACCTACAAAAAAAGCAAATGTTCAAAGGTCAAATGTAGAAATTAAAAAATAATAAAAAATCTAATATATTAAACTTCTACTTCCCAAAGGATGTTGTGAAGTACTGTCGTACAATAAACAGCTTTGTGCTCAGTGATGAAGATTACAAATTATTATGATAAGCAACTATGCAACAGTAGACCTGCTGATGCAACTCCCATTGCACTTAGAAGGCCACATCCTGCTTCTATTGGTGCTGAGTCTGGCCACAATGTTTACTGTAAATAGTAATTAAATGAGCAGGACAACTGGGACTGATTGCAAATCATTGCTACCTCTTACCTGAGTTTCGCTGCATAGGTTCAAAAACCGAAATGGTGTCATCACTCAGAAAATAGGAAATAATGAATTTCCGGTCCTTGTCAATAGGGCTATCAGTAATAAGTTTTGCAAGAAAGCGGAGTATGTTACTTTCCAGACCATTTCTAAAAAAAAAAAAAAAAGAAGAGCTAAGAAATTAAGAACAGAGTGTGAGGAAAGTTTCCATCACTTAAGAGCTGCATTCTCCTGAGTTTTGTAAAATACATTAATTATGTTATTCCTGGACTAAGAAGGGAAATGCGATAGGGTTCCTACTTTGTCAAAAACCATTCTGAGCTTAAAGTAACAGAATCAACCAAACTCAGCCAGATAGAAAGGAATTATTTTCAGGGGAAAATTACTTCTCTGCTACAGGTCTGGAATGAATTTGTATTCAAATTCAGTTGCAAATCAAATCCAAGTTTGCGTCCAGAAAATTTATAAAGGAAAAACACATTTAGATGTGTACATTTTCAAATCAAATTCTGAATAACAATGCACACTAGGATCACCCCCATAAAATCAGGTCCATCAGACGATCTTACTAGCTGGGTATTTGTTAAGTGATTATGTTAAAATGATTTACAGTACTGCTATATACACTAGCAATATAGAGTCAAGTCTTTTTCTAATATATTTCTTCTTTTATGGAAGTTCTTCATCTGACAAGGCATGTCAGAACGGAAATTAAAGGGTTAATGTTTAAATATTGCTACAGTAAACTGTGCATGAAAATCAGCAGACAAAAAAGTAAATGCCAGAAAGTCAAACAGAAAAACAAATCAGTGATGGACTGTTGGAGCATTCAAAATTACCATTGGACTAAGACTTCCATCCAACTCCT